TTTATCAAAATTGAATGTTTTCCTCTATCTGAACTCGAGCAAGCCCTCTTAGTTTTAATCAAGCAAATTCAAAGATTTTACTATAACAAGGAAATAACTGAACTCTCTAAGAAAGACTCGTATAATTTGGAGTCTGTCCCGAAATATTTTCGCAAGCTCACTCCCTTTCTTGACCAAGATGGTATTCTCAGATTGGGCGGACGTTTACATCACTCTTTATTTCATATAGTAATAAACACCCGTGTTTACTTCCAAATGATCATAGACTGACCCGTCTGATTGTAGAGCATACAATATGGAGCATATAATATTTACTTAGCCAAAGATATTGGATCCCGTCCTCTAAAAGAGTGATACGAAAGGTCATCTCTTCTTGCGTTTGTTGTTTTAAAAATAACCCCTGTTCTTTTCCTCCGGTAATGGGTAACTTACCTGCAGTGCGAGTAAATGAAATAAAATGCTTCACCAAATGTGGGGTTGATTTCGGTGGTCCATTCCAAGTAACGATGTTGAAAATCCGAAGCTCGAAAAGTTATAAGGCCTATATGTGTCTTTTCATATGCTTGCCCACCAAGGCATTTAGAACTCGTATACTGAATTGTCTACCGATGCATTCCTTGCCGCCTTATGACGGCTTATTGCTCGGCGTGGTCTTGTTGTGAGTATCTTCACACCCTTAACCAAAAATCCAAGTGGTGTGATCCCTCCACTGATATTAAAATTGACACCCTGGTGTTAATTAAAGAAAACCTCCATTTGCTTGGCATTTGAGGCGCGTACTATAAGTCCATCCAGGTACGGACGGAGTGGTGAGAATTGTCTCTATTAAAACGGCAAAGGGTATTCTCAAACGCCCAGTTTGAAAGGTTTGTCCTTTGCCAATGTATTAGTTATTAATATCTGGCAATATATTAATTATTAATATTAAGCTTAGAATTTGCGTAGGTATCGGAATTGTTATTACTGTTTTGTTAATTTTTTTTTCATTTATTAATAAAATGTTGCCATTTTAGGTGGGCGGTATGTTCCGTCCAATCGGAATTGTTTTGTTTTATTTTTCCCCTTTAATTTTTATAGTTCGGGAATTTCTATATCGAGCAAATTGAGATTGGTTTTTATTTAATTAATTACATTGCTCTTTCTCGTTCACCCTTCATTTTAACAGTAGACGGTTCAGACTACGCAATCAGAGCAATTCTTTCACAAGAAACCATTGGAACTGATCTACCAATAGCATACGCTAGCCGAACACTTAATCCTGCAGAGCTTAACTCCTCTACAATAAAAAAAAAACTTATTGCCATCGTGTGGGCTACAAAGTACTTTCGACCTTATCTATTTGGTAGAAAATTGACTATAGTAACGGATCATAAACCTTTACAATGACTCTTCTCTATTAAAAACCTAATTCGCAATTAGTCAGGTGAAAACTAAAACTTCAGGAATATGAATATACTATTCAATATAAAAAAGGCAAACAGAATGTCAACGCTGACGCCCTCTCACGACCACAAAAAGAAATACACCCCTTAGACCTAATAAAACTCCGAGTAACACATATATCAGCGGTATGTGACGAAAACGAGGAAAAAGATGAACAATATTTATGGCACGAAAATATTAAACACTTCTTCGAATCACAGGAAAACCTGTCTAAATGAATTTGAAAATTTTGAACAAAATTGGAAACCAATCGAACAATCGGAGATAATTGCTGCAGATTATAAACAAAAATTTAACAACATACAATATCTTATCGATCAAAACGCTAAACCCGTAGAAATAGAGACATTATTTGACAATAAGAAAAACTTACTATATGTCTTGGAAAACCTGAATTAATATGAAAAACCATGCAAGAAAGAATCATGTTACACGAATAGCGATCCCCAAACTAGGATGTGGACTTGACCAATTGCATTGGTTAAACGAACAGAAAGAAATAATAGAAAGGTATCATACTACAAAGGAATAACAGAAAACATAAAAAATATTAAACAAAAATATTATTGGTCAAGCCTGGAAAGAGACGTAATAAATTTCGTTAACACATGCAAAATATACCAAAAAACGAAATATGATAAACATCCTTATAAAATCGTCGACAAACCAACACCAATCGGAACTAAACCTTTAAAACATATTTATATGGATATACACTCGATATCAGAACAAAAATATCCTACAATAATAGATAACTTTTCAAAATTTGCCGCAGCATACCCAGTTAATGAAACTTCGCTCGAAATATGTCAAAGGTTAACTAAATTCTTTTCACTTCATGGAACACCAAGCAAAATTAGTACAGATAACTCACAAAGTTTTAAAAGTAATCTAGTACAAGACTTGTGTAAAACGTATCGAATCGAGTTACATTTCACTATACCGTATAATCCAAATTCAAACTCACCAGTCGAAAGATTCCATTCTACCTTTAAGGAAAGTCTAATCGATCTAAAAAACGAACATTGTACCAAAACGATTGAAGAGCTAATGGATATCGCAAATATTAAATTATAATAATAGTAGACATTCTTCCCATGAGAATACTCCTTTCCAAATTCTAAAAGGAAATCTGAACTATCAATTAAATTTCGAGAAAAACCTAAATCAATTGCAAACAGATTAGTGTACGAACTTGCACAATTCTGCAAGGAACTTAATGAAAAAATAAAATTAAAACTTAATACAAAAAAGGCAAGCGTTTTAGCAAAACTAAATGAAAAACGCGAAAATTACCCCGAAATACCCGAAGGTACTAATCAACTAATAAATACACCTCGGAAGTAAACACAAAAATTACAACCTAAATATAAATTGACTCAATCTTAAAATCAAAGACACCCTAAAAATGTTGAAAGACATTTATAATTTTTAGGTAAGAATGAAGATTGCTATTCTCCTGCTGCCGCTAATCGTAAGTGCCCAATATAAAATCGAAGATATTACATACACCCTGTTACCAGTCCATCAAGGAAACGGTTATGTTGTAACAAACTTTCATCATGTCTATTACCATGTTAATTTGACTAACTTACAGGATTGTTTAAAATTAACGAAATCAACGCTTTTACGCTACCTAAAATAATTTAAATGCCCCCTTAAGTTACTTATTAGTAACTCGGGTCCTAGATCTTATTGACCAAGCGGAATATATTAAAACCTTTATTAATCATTATGCCACTCCAGTGAAAAGAATTAAAAGAGGACTCTCTAATTTCTTTGGAGAAGCACAAAAATATTTATTTGGAAGTCTAGACTCAGATGATGGTCATACCAATATATTAAAATTCTTCAAGAAAATCAAGAAACTGTACACCAATCCTCAACACAGACGATCGTTAAATGGCTAACAAAGGACAAAGACGCTCAGCTGAATAATATAAAAAATATTCAGCAAAATATAGTTACCAAAATTAACTACCTACCAAAAATGACGCGAATTATAACAATAACCTCTTATTTCATTATCTTACTTAACAACTTGGAAAACAATCTTCGCGTTATTAATGAAATACGAATGAATGTGCAGATCGCTATCAACTTCGCTGACATTAATGTAATGCACCATAGCATAAAGAACTTATAAAATATAAATATAATATAAATATTATCTCTAAACTTGACCCGAAAACACGAATTCTTTTTGTTAATATAATTAAATACTACGAAGTGCCGCACGCTGGCGTTACGATCAAAAATGACCTTATAATGTTTTACATAGCTAAACCCCTTATTTTTAACAAATCTTATGATCTCTACCGTATATACCCCATACTCCATAAAATATCCGTTATAAATAATCCCTATCTTTTGAAATTGACAGACGATTTCTATAACCGAAACGAAAAGTGCTACAAAATCGAGTACATATCCTTATGCCCCCGCAATCTGCTCAATAAAAACAAACGCTGTATTCCACAAACAATTATTTTATCTAATCATTCTCGAATGATTCCAATTGAATATAAAGAAACCTCAGCTACCCAATTCAATGATAACTCTATTGTAGTTATCCCGAATCCCCTAGAAAATATATTTTTTCATTGCCCAAATTAATAAAGTGTCGAAATAATAAATAAAGCATCTTTAATTCTGCCCGCAGAGTGTAATGTTAAAATTAAAAATAATAACTATGACTCTCAAAAAGGAGATATAATTAATGTAAGACTATAACTTCCGTCAATATCGAACCACTACAGTTGAAAGATATTAATGTTGAAAATATAAAAAAAGACATAGAAAGTGCTCGAAACCTAGTAAATTACCCTCTAAAACACTTAACTTTGGTAAACTCTAGTGTTTCGATTCCTGTCATAATAATTATTATAATTATACCAACAATAATCATTACATTCCATTATATTCCATAGAACTAAAAACTCTCGAAAATCAAACCCCAATTTTCTCAAACCCCAATTTTCTCAAACTTGAGGAGGGAGGAGTTATGTATGATGAGTATGTTAATAGAAGATAGTAATACGAGACATATGCTTATTCAGCAGCTTCAATAATATAAATACGCGCACTAATCGTAAGATAACAGTCTTAAAGTCGCTTTGCATTAGTAAATATTGTGTGTTACTTGTAATATAAATAAAAATAGTTTTTTAAAAAATACGAGTATCACATTTTGAAATAAAATTGTTTCAAAAAATATAATGTAAATTAAACTTTCTTGCGCAAGCCACACATTCTACAAAAAGATGGATGATTTACGGGTGGCAGAAAGCACTGGAGAAATACCTTGCAGCGTCAGTCAGTCGATATAAATGTCTTGTTGAATTAAATCAATTTGCGTTTTTCTTGATAATTCCCGGATTTGCGCGTGTTTTATATTAAAACAGATTGTTACATTATTCCACTATAAAGTAAACGTTTAAATTTTAAATTGGTTGCTACATTTATTCTGTAGGACAATGAAAACCAAAAAACAAGGCATTTAGAATTTTAAATAAATTTTTTTAAAACTTCTTCGACTCAAAGCGCATTTTAAAACTTTAATCTTCTTCATCATCTTCTGTTTCCGTTTCTTCCACAGCTTTTTCCGCTATTTCTAACTCTTTTTTTACATGTTCTGATTTCCATCGCTCTTCGGAAGCTCCAGTAGGATCAAGTACTTCTATAATTTCTGGTCCAATGGGATATTCTTGTTGAATTTGTGGTAAAGGACACGGAGAAAAATTATCTACGCTATATTTAAGACCATTGCCTAGATAGATATTGAAAAAGCTTTTTTCCTTTGTGAAAAATGCATAGGCCCCGGGCCATAAGTTGGATCTTACAAACGCTAGAGCATAGGTATCTAAAATACCTGATGCAATTTTTACACTCCATGGTGCAACACCTTCCGGTGAAATGTCTTCTGAACACGGAGTCAGCAGCGGGAGCCCTTGTTCTGCTTTGACATATTTACCTTTATCTAATTCTTCCTCATCATCATCGTCTTCCATGCCTAATTCTCCATCATCAGGAGTGGGATTCCAATTTTCAGTTCGACCCTGAGGTAGGATATAGGGAGCAGTATGTACCCAGAAGGACATATTGGGGTCCTTTAAATCTTTAATACTCGGAGGGTCGTATTTTGCATTTACTTTATAACCGTTTTTGATTTCTAAATCACGCGTTTCTTTATTGGTTTCTTCGTCCTCTTCTTCATCGGCATCGTCTGCAACATCTTCTACCTCAGATATGTAATATCCCAGTGGAGCAATTTGAGTGCCAGATGTAATCCTTGCAATTTGTGCTCTTAAATAGTTTTTCTCTGTTCCGGGAAACTCGGGGTATGCGGGAACAAGCTGTTCCAAATTTCCAGTAAAAGATTTACAAATTTGACGGGAAATTACTATTTGCTTTGATGTAACATCTGGTAACCGAATCCATGGATCTCCCACTGTCCTGCATACGTAATATACTTTCTTATTAAGACCGAAATCAAAAGGTTCCGATTCCATTTGAGGAGTTGATAGATACTGTATTTGTGGTATGGGCGGCATACGTTTCAAAATACGGGAGGTTAACTCACCTTCACCACTAATCTCGTCGTATTGACGAAAAATTTCTTTTTGCGGGGGAAAAATGTTGTCAAATGGTTTCCATTCCTCTTCAGGGACTGGCATGTTTCGTTTCGCATTATCATCCTTTTTTAACTCAGCTTCAAGCACCAAGTAATTATATATTGTTCCAAATATCTTACCCCAAAATCGAATGTTACCTATAGGTTCGGTGCGTACCAGATTTCTCATTGATAACATGAGGAAAACCATCTCTTGGCGCTGAAGACCTAGACCGACTTGTTCCAGATAAAATAGGTGCTTGAGCAGGTTACTTTCCGATATATTGGCCAAGTCAAGATACTCAGGGTCGATTGTTGATGGTTCACCAACTTCAAACGGTCTTAGCTCATAAATAAATCTCTCAGCGAAGCTAAATCGCACTGGGGCAATAAAAATATCTTCCAAGCGATCATTTGCTTCTTTAAATCTCTGTTCCTTTACTTTTCGGCTATATTCTTCAAAAAAATCTATTACGTTCTCAGGTCTTTCAGCCAAAATTTTGTTGATTACATCCGAAAGGTGATCGTATAAGTTGTCGCCCGTGTTTTTGCTAGCCACTTGGAGAAACGTTTTTGCATTGACGAACTGTGTTTCTATATTCGGCATGTCCGTATCTTCATTAATATAATCGTAATCGTATATCATTTGCACAATGACGTTTTCTTTAGTTTGATTATAGGACTTTGATAAATGTGTCAAATTTTTTAAGCAAAACTAGTAGTTCTTTGCTCGATATTTATTATTTGCATTAAGGTGGGCTCGACTACAAAGATCATGCGGCCAGTTTCTGGCATGCGCCGGGAATTTCTTTTTCATGTTGCTTTGTAACTCTTATTCACTGAAATCAAAAAGAGCCATATTTTTAAAGTCTACTCTATTAAATTTAGCATTGAGAAATGTATATTACCACGTCAATGTCAATAGTTGGCAGAGAGGTCACAGCACGATATTTGCGGCTGATAAGTGAAACATATCGCGGTTGGTATATTAGGATGCTCTAATCAATTTATTTTTTCTTAAGCCTATAAGTATATATTTTATTATTTTATTGATATTGATTTTCTGGACGCTATATTTAAAAACAAATTTATTCAAACTAAGTTTGTGCCTCTAAAAAGATTTATTTTTTCATTTCCACATTTTGAAAAATCAATTTATGTGTGTTAAAGTGCTTACTAAGTTGTCAGAAGTTCAATCAATCAGAGAGGCCATTTAAAAAGTTCAATAACAACACAGCACATCGCAACACAGCCGCTCTCTACGCATCAACCCACACTTCGTCCAGGCATGTCTGGCATTTTTAATTTCAATCCAAAAATTTTGTTTCTTGCGTTTTTTACTGTGTTGCGTAAAAGCAGTAACTATTTTGACGAATTACATTGTGACAATAAAACCATACTTTAAAGCGCACGCCCCTACGAGTGAGATTTGTGGATTTTTGGACAACGGGAACAGGTATAATCACGAATTTTGGTTAGTGGAAGTTGGCCTATGGACATTTTGGAAAAGAGGTATCACATTCTCGGACACCGACAAAACAGGTTAGATCATTCCAATTACCTTAGCTTTGCATGGTTCAAGATTGTGATAAAAATGGCTGTTGCATTTGAAACTCACTGAACTAAATCCAACGGGTTCCCGCACCCCATTTCCAACCCAAAGGTGATATATCTGTGATCCGATATAGAGTCGTCCCCACAGACACACCACCCAGTTATTTAAGGGAGCAGAGCCCTGGTACAGAGTGTCAAATCTATAACCGAGCTCCGACCCGCCTTGAAAAACGTTGGTTATGCCTCTCTATTGGCCACCTGCAGCCCTGCCGAAGCCATATTCTCGACTAGATCCCTTAGGACAAAGGCCTCCAGCCTCATGGTTACTATGCCGGCTCTGGGATCGCCCCCTGAGGAGTCGACACTATGCAGCGTCGACCCTCTCAGAGACAACCCCCTAATCCTTGATTTTAAAATACATGCACAAGAGAGCCGTTGCGATCTTGCTGTGTTGCAGGTTAATTTATAGAATCCCCTTGAAAGTTTTGTTACGGGAATACCATTTGAGGGTCTCGATGCTAGTCTCAGGCCGAATCCGAGCTCGAGGTAGCACCTCCCTCCAGTTCAGCCTTTCCCTGACTGGTGAACACTGATGGGATCCCCCGGTCCATCTCCATCCGAGATTCCCCCTCGATTCTCCCTTACTCGGGGGCCGTTCGGAGATCGCCTCCAGAGAAATCACGAGCGCTGCCTCCGCGACAGGCCCATCAACCTCCATGGACAAGCCCTCTTCGTTTAAACCACACGCGGCTACCTCATCCCCCTGCGACCTCGGCGTCATCAGGTTCACTTTAACCTGGGTCGCCAGGCAGAAGAGAAGTGGGCCCTTTAGTCGTAATGACCTTTGCCAAGTTCTCGTCCAAGCCCACCACCAACCTTGTGCCCCATGCGTCCTCCATCCTTTGCCAGACCCCCCAGGCACAGCAATCTAGGCCATTCTGAGCTGCCAGGCAGCGGACTAGTGCCTCGTTCGCTTACGCGGAGGTTAAGAAACCCTATCAACCGCAGTAGGTCCTCGGAAGACAGGTCAGTTTCCTGCCCTCTGAGATCCAACACCACAGCTTTTTCCGGGCTGCGTGTCGGTCGTCGACCTCCGGCAGGTGGTCTCAGTCATGTTTCTCTTTCGCTTTTCGCCTGGCGTTTCCGGTGTGCCCTCTATGAACCCCCCGTTGACGGCGTGGCGGGAATCCTGGACGCCGGAAGAGAGCCCATCCGTTCATGAACCGTCAACGCGAGTCTCTTCTTCTTCGTTCTCCTTTTTTTCCGGTTTGTACGGAGCCCTCAACCTCACTCGCGACCTGGTCATCCTCCTCAGGTCGTTTTTGTAGGGAACCTTCCTGAAGACGCACCGTTATACCCTGTGCCATCCCTTAGCTACGACACAACAGCTGGGCAGGGTGGGCTAGTCCACGACTGGTTGTTTGTTAACCTTATTGGATTTTTACCTCCTCATGCCTCCTTATTCCTAGCCACGGAGGCCCGTGAGAGTCCTCCTATCCGCCACCTGAGGCCGCGCCTCATGGATTGCTCAACCCTCACAAACAACTATATCGTTAGCGTAATTATACAAGCGGATGCTTGCACTTTTTCTTAAAATCATCAGCAAGACTTTTTCAAGTAACTGCTTGTTCATAATTACTCTCCTCTAATCCTCTAATTATTCAATATCGTCGAGTTCAATTATCTCTAAGTGAATACATGAATTTAATTAAATCGTTATTTATATTAATATCGGGAAATAGTATTGGCTTAAACGTGCTGTTTGTTTGGCCTTTGGTTCTGTCAATGTGTCGTTGGTCAGCTGTCAACATGAAGGTTCCAATCAGTTTTAATTCTGCAATTTGATATAGGCAGTTAATATTAATCATTTCTTCCTTGGGGATAACTCGAACGAGTTAATTGGTTCACCATTGGACCATCCAATTTAGTTTCGATATGTTCACATGTCATTACATTTTATAAGGAAAGCAAATGACTTACTGCAAATGATTTAAATCTTGTTTATTACAAAGAAAATTTTCTAGTACGACTTCTTGGCAAGTCTGATCTTGGTATACGTTGTGTAAGTTAGTTTTTAGAAGAAATTTACATTTAGCAATTTAGCACGTTCTGCTAAAGTTGAAGTGCCATATTTAGAAAAACTAAAAATAATTGTTAGGAATTTTGTTTTTTCTAAAGTATTGTAAGTATGTAAGTAAGTATTGAAATGTTAGATGTTACATTCTTTTCGATTTTTAGAGAATTTTTGTCATACTGATTTATAAATGTTTGAATTGAATTCTTTTAATTGGGCTAATAATATTTTAATTTAATACGTTGTTCGGTTTCGTCGATACCTCGGTGGTTATTTTTTCCTTCCTGGTGTCTTTGTATTATTGCAGTCATTTTTACTTTGTCGGTGATACCAGTCAGCATTTGGAAACATTGCTTGAGTTGAAAAGATGCCTGTCGAAAATATTTTCTCACGACTTTACAAAATGGTTCATAGACGCCGTCACCTTCAAAATATAAATATTAAAACTTTTCCAGGAACAACGTTTTCTTTTATCAGGTTGATAACATCCTGTTCAAAATTATTTTTACTTATTTGTACAATTAATCAGCGTATTGTGTTAAGTTTGTCGAGTTCATTCTGTCTCTAGTATTTGCTTTACTTTTTTTATATATGACTTTATAATCGTACTCCTCAAATTTGATTAGCATTAAGTTTGAGCCTGGATCATTGATCGCGAAAACTCATTGTAATAATTTATGGTCTGTAATAACGTTGAACTTTCTCCCGTACAGATAGGGTCTAAAATATTTAGTTCCCCAAACTACACAGAGGCATTTCTTTTTTTATAGTAGAATAGTTTTGTTCAGATTCATGTTCGTGACGCATAGGCTACTGGAAGATCCTATCCTCTTGGTCATTAATTTGAAAACAGATATATCAGTTGGAAGAACAATGAAATAAAAATATAAAGAAAAAAGTAAATTAAGTTAACCGGAGAATAGGGATGGTTTATTGGGCGCCACTAGTCTGTGGCGGCATGTGCCAGAATTACCTCTGTATGGTATTGGATTTCCGTTATACACCTAGATCATACTTACTTAAGCTTAAAATAAAGAAAAAAAAGTAAGATAAATTAAAAACAAGATAAATTATCGACAGAACTAGCTGAGAGCTCGGACTTGTGGGGCAAGTCTAGAAAAGAAATCTTGGATTATTTAATATGAGGTATGAATTTAAGACGTTTTACTTAAACGCTACCAATAACCTACCCCCGTACCTTCGTGATCACGTCGGCTTAAAATTGTACAATAATGCTTTACTTAAGGGGAAGTACATTTATAGTAACAGGGGTGGAATTGACATAAGCAATTAAATTGATTAAAGCAATAATTAAAAAAAAAAAAGATAATAACAATTGTTCGTGCAAAGATTTCTATGCTGGTTAGTTTCATTTGATACATTTAAAATAAAATATTTCTAAGCGAAAAACAAATGGCTATACCACTTTCAAGAGCCCCTTCTCGCGCGGCTACAGCAGCGCCATCGCACTGAAGCACCTGTCGGCGATATGTTGTCGAATAATTCGGACGAGTTCGGTACCGCGGTCTGTGACGCGTTAATTGCCTGGAAATAAAAATGTGTCGCGCCCGCAACAATCAAGAAGCGAACCACCGAGGGCCATCGAGATCACCAGAGGGGCCAGCAGAAGGTAGGGCGAACCCTTGTTGTAGCCGGATGTAAATGCAAATTTGTCGCGAAAATACAGTCCGCTACCAGTTTATTTTATATCGATTCAGCATTACAAATTTTTCAATTTGTACTAATATTTTCTGGTCATTCGAACCGGAACCGAACAAATAAAAAATTCTTAAATTCAAAATTGTCATTTTCCAGGTCGCAGTTATTTTTTCTGCTGAGCGCACGGGTCAAATTAAAAATTTTTTTGTCGTAAACAAAGAGATCGGATCAGCTGTTTTGTCTAGTAATTTTATATTTAGTGAAAATAAAAAAATTCGCGGCTTCAACAAAACTCATTTTTTCAAAGTTGATTTCAAATAAAGGTAGTTTTCTATTTTGTCGCACCTTACTATTATTATATTGTCGTCGCGCTTGCTTTATT